CTCGTGCTGTGTTTCGTTCTCCGGGCCATGGGGTCCCTCCCACTGAGCCAGAGTGGCCGGGTGATTTCCCCTGCTGCTTTTCTCATGGTGGGTAGATTTCTCTCTGACTCCCAGCACAGAAGATAAAGAAGGGAAGACAGCTTCAATTCCTTCCCAGTGCACTTGCTCCCCAGCCAGCCCAGCTAGAAAACCACGTGTGCGCTACTGCTCTCTGCATCATGCCAGAAACGTAACACGAAGCCCAGACAGACAGGAGAAAGCAGTTGCTGGCGTAGCTCGTGGGAATCTGCCACTCACCAGGGCTCCAGACTGTCCCCAGCAGAGAACATCCCCTCTCCACCGCTGCCTCGGGGAAGAGCCATTGGGTCAGAGGAAAGAAATGGTGCTATTGGGAACGTTGAAACGCTTGAGTTATCTATCCACTGCTGTGCCTTTAGGAAAGGAGAGAGAGACCCGGTGTCTTACCTCTCCCCTCACAGACAGACCCCTCTGCTGATGTGTGTGATGTGGAAAAACCAATGAATCAGCTTGAAGAGCTGTCTGGAGAGCCTGACTTGTGTCTCAGAGAAACGGTTCACAGATCCTTATGTTGATGTTGTAAACGCTGAAAATGTAATGGATGTGTAACGTCACGGTGGCCGTACGTAAGCTTCCCCGCACCTCGTGAGGATTTCTCCTGACTGAAATCTCCCAGAACAGATGGCAGGTGCTGAGGGCTCTTGTCACCTACGAGGCATGCAGGGGCCCGGCAGCCTGGCTGCAGTGACTAGGTTTATCAGTCTAGGCTGAGTGAGAACGTCTTTGTCCCAAAGCCGCTTTTTCAAAAAAATGACAAAGCAGATATTTTGGGGTGGGGGGTGGTGGGGGAATCTTAACAGTTGTCAAACCTCTGTTGTGGGCTATTTGCTGTAATGTTCTTTGTAATGTTATGAATTGGTTCTCAGAAAACAAGTCGGGTAAATGATAGTGGGGGTGAAGGGGACAATAAATGTGTGCAGCCATTAGCCCATGTGACTGGACATCGGCGCCCCAGGGGGACTCAGCGTGCCCGTGCTGGGGGAGGTTAGGGTGCGGGACGGGCCCCAGGGCTGTGTGGAAAGGCGAGGTGTAAGACTAGCGGTGGAGTTGGAAAAAGCACCTGGCGGCCGTCACTGAGATAGTTAAGAATAGTAATACTAACGCAGGGAGGTGCGAAACGTTTGTGCACAACCAACGGAATGGGAAGGTCACGGAATTCCCCGGCAGGCTTTTGGAAACCCTGTTGTAGATGTGATTTTAGCCGGCACACTGGTTTGTAGACTTTGCTTGTAGGTTTCCGGCTTCCTTACATAGGATGTCAGCTCCATGCAGCAGGCACCCAGCTGGTTCACCGATGTTGCTCTGGTGTGGGCCCATAGTGGGTGCTCCTTGAAAATTTTTGATGAATAAGACCCCCGCCCCCCCACTGCCACTGGACGGTTCGCCGAGGGCAGGACGCTGTCTTGTGTTTCCTGCCATCTCGGAGCTCGAAGGAGCGGCGTTTTCTTTCATCCATCCGGCAGCGTTTGCTGAGTGTCGGCGACAAGCCAGCCCCTGCCCCGGGTGCTGAGGGCATAGCAGGGCACAGGACTGGCACGGGGGGGGGGAGGGGGGGGCGCGTCTTCAGCGCTGCCCTCCTGGGGCGCAGCCTCCATTCTCACACTGTCAGGTAACTAGTCTCAGTGACCGCTCTCCAGCGCTTACCAGATGAGTGCTGGAGTGTGTCATGTGGTTTCATGGTTCTCTCACATTTTGCTTCCCGGGAGAGTTGCTCAGTTTGGTCTTGTAGCACACTACCCACTTACTCTTTAGTTGTTTGCATTGTGCGATTCAAATCACCTACCAAACTTTTATTTCGAAATGCCAATGTTTAATGGCCACTAATCTCTATTTGATTATTATGGATGCCATACCCTCCATGGCTCTCTAATAATTTTAATTATGTTCCCGCTAATGTCTTGTTCGTTTTGGCTTTAGTGCATTATTATTTCTTGGTATCAGTTCATTCATTTGTTGAGTGTTGCTTGGTCCTTATCTTTCAGAGCTTTGTCTTTCCTCAACTATGTAGTGAATCTTGTTTGGGCGTGTATTGCTATGGTTGGTTTGTTTTTTGGCTATTACAGGTAAAAGCTATGTCTATTTTCAGGAATCTACGTCCAAGGTAGTCTGCCTCCATGGGGTACTTTGACACAGTGGCTGCAACAATGGGCCTAGAAACAATTCTGAGAGTGGCTCAGGACTGAGCTGTGTTGTATTACGTTGTACATAGGGTCACTGTGGGTCAGAACTGACTGGATGGCGCCTAACAACACCGCCAAGGTTGTTGTTTGGGGAGGGAGCGCATGTAGAACAAGTGCTGGGCAGAAGGAGCCAGCAGCTGAATTTCTGGATATGGAGGTCTCTGTGGGAGCACTCAGGAACCCTGGTGGTGAAGGAAGTTCAGCAGCATTGGCTTGCTAACTTCAAAGTCAGCGGTTCCATTCTATCAACTGCTCCTCGGGAGAAAGATGAGGCTTTCTACTCCCATTCAGTCACAGTCTTTAAACCCACAGAGGAAGTGCTGTGCTGTCCTGTAGAGTCACTATGAGTAGGAATCAAACCAATAGCAGTGAGTCTTGTTTCGTTTTGATGGGAGCACCAGACATCTGAGCCCGTCTTTCTCTTGAACCGGAAGCCCACTCTCACTCATCTTTGGCTTGCTGCCTGCCTTGGAAGAGGGGAGTGAAATTGTGAGTTGGGGACATGGTCTCCCGCCAGGAGACATTCTGGCTTCAGATTCAGTCAGCCAAGTCTGTTAGCTGCTTGACCAGCCTCCTCCACCATCCACCTTGAGGCTTAAAGTTCTCCAATATCCATGCCCTTCTTTGCTGAAATCTTCTCTTACAGATATTTCTTTATCCTGTTTGGAGTGACAATCAATGCACACGGAAGCTGCATTTACTTCTCCAGTACCTTCTTCCTTTGTCTCCTCCAACTTGGCTCTGTCCTCCCCCCATTCTCGGAAGGGTCTTGGGTCTCCTTCTCCATGACTCTCTCTCGTCAAATTAAAATCCTCCAGACTCCTGTATTACAACATGCAGTAGTCTGGAAGCAAATTAGCAATATTTTCAAGCATGCCTGTATTATCTGATTTTTGCCTGTGGAGAAACTATTTTTGCTTCCATCAAATCAGAGGTTGATAGACAGCCAGGACTCCTCCTGGATGGCCGTGATCTTACCAGCCAGATCTGCGCACAGCCTGGGCCAAGTGAGGTGGGGTGGAGACCCGGCAGGAGGTCGAGACCCACATAGCTATTTTTAATTCCCCCTTCTCCTCTCCAAGGCGCCCCAGTCTGCATGACAAAGGACAGTCGTCACAATTGTAGTGGATGGTGTACAGGGAAGAAATCTCAGCTGACCAGGAGACCGGCTGCCAGTACACTGCCTTACTGATTTATATAATTCACACATCATATACTTCCAAACCTCAATCATATTTAAAAGGGCTGTACAACCATCACCCCAATCCGCTCTAGAACATTTCCTTCCTTCTTATTCTCATTGTTATTAGCTCCCCATTTCCCTCTAACCTCCCCACCCACCACCCCAATAAGCCATCAATCCAGTAGTCACTGTCTCTATAGATTTACCTATCCTGGATTTCATATACTGGAAAACACCCTCCACCCCCAAAATATATGACCAACTACAATAGCAAAATAAATCAGAGAGAAAAAGGGAAATATCAAAAAGTAGAACAACTATTAAATGGGTCAAAATGGAGATCAAATGATCGGGTATTACATTTTAACCTACTCTTATCTGTCATCATTTAGTTTACAATACTCTCTCTCTGACAGCAAGGCTGTTTACATCACCGAACTTGGTCAGAAGGGATTCTTGGGAGGCTTAATCCCTGTGGAGACCTTGCAAATGGATTTGGGGTTACCACTGTCATCCGTAGCCTTCTGCAAATCAGGTGTTCACAACTTCAGCTCGGACACCATTCCCTCAGTCAGATTTGGATTTATCCTCTAGGGTTTTCTAATGACTGGCTTTCAGGTCACCAAGTCTTCCCTCCGAATGGCCTGTCTGGGTGGACTTCAACTGGCAGCCTTTCCGTTAGTAGCTGAGCCGCAGGGTTCCTGGCTGGCCAGTGAAGCTGAACAAAAGGCAAGGCCCTGCCACTTCCAGTGCCTGCGGTTAACATTAGCCAGGACTGGGACAGCTTCAGGGTGTCTAATTCAGACAGGTAAATAAACAAGCCAGGCTCCCCTCAACCCAGCAGGAAGGGAGCAGGGCGGTGGGAAAGATCGGCCTGCCTAGAAAGCGGGGATCAACAGTGGGCCTAGAGGGAGCACTGCACGCATAGGGAAGGTTACATCAACGCTGAAGCCAACCAAGAGTAACATCCTCCCCGACAACTGTCTGCTGGTATCATGGGATGGAGATTAGAGTGTCATTTGCATATTTCTGGGACACAGTGCATCACTTATCCAGCAGAATGAGTCTGGGTTCTGATCAAGCGCAGGCAAACCTCCTCTACTAGGATAAAGAGCTATTCTGTGGTGTCACCACCTAGAATTTTGTTACAAGGTTGGCACCCGAAAGATTGAAGCAATTCTTTTTTCCAGAGCAAGCCAGAGGGAGAGTATTTCAAAGAGGGTGAGTCTCCTAAAGATGGCTCAGATTCCTCTTAAGACTCAGTGTCATACAAATGCATCCTGCTGCAGAAACATAGCCAGGTCCCACAGGAAAGCATAGCGGTGCTTTTGCAGGACGGGTCAGAGGGGCTGAGGTGGAGGGCGCCACCCCCGCCGCTGTGAAGAGTAGAGTGGACCCCGTGGGGTGTGGCGTGGGTCTCCTGACATCGGGAGCTTTCACAGCATGCTCCTCAGAAGCCGCACGAGACTCCGCCAGGCGGCGGGCACGCCCTGCGTTTGGAAGTGGTGCAGTGCGCAGGTTCGCATTGGTCTGTGACCGGACGTGTCTGTTCTTGGCAGGCCTCTCTATCCGGAGCGTGTGCTGGAAAGCAGACCGGCTGCTGGCTGGGACGCAGGACAGCGAGATATTTGAGGTGATCGTGCGAGAGCGGGACAAGCCGGTGCTGATCCTGCAGGGCCACTGCGAGGGGGAGCTCTGGGCCCTGGCCCTGCACCCCAAGAAGCCGCTGGCCGTGACAGGCAGTGATGACCGGTCCGTCAGGTGAGGCCACTGCCACCTTGCTGACTTCCTTGAGGTAACAGACTTATCACCCCAAAAACTCACTGCCATCGCGGTGAACCTGCAGTTCGGGGCAGAACTGGCCCTGTGGGTTTCCCAGGCTGCAACTCTTTTGGAGAGCTGCTGGTGGTTTCTAAAGTGTAACGCAGGACTCCAGGACTCCCAGACTTGCTTCCGGAGAGGAGAAACTGCTGAGTAGAACCACACCCTTTCCTAAAGCAACTTCGAAGTCCTTAGCTCAACCGCTGCCCTTTGGCTACATTGTTACCATTTTATTAGAAGTGGAAATACACACACTTGTTACCTTGGCTTCTAGCTTTTTCAAGTTGAAGGTGGAGCTAGGAGCTCATCTGTGGAAAGGGCTTCTTGTCCTCATGTCCCGCCTGCCCTCTGCAGGGGCCTCAAACGCAGGCCCGGGACGCCCTCCGGAATGCAGATTTCCAAAGCTGGCTTTGGTACAGGAGGAACTACTACTTCTCTTGGAATTCTCAGGTGGAATTTGAACACTGTCCTAAATCCGGATCATTGTCCTAAATGCTGGTTCCTGAGAAAAGAAGCCGTTTTCTGAAGACCTGGGAGCTCTTGCTGTGAATGGGTAGTTAGCCTTTGAGCACAGTGCTGGGAAGGCAGGGGAAGGAGTCGCCGGCTGAGATTCTTCTGATTGCTGGAGGGATGATCATATGCCACTAAAGTTTGAGTTGAAGATTCTCAGCACCGATTCTAGTCTTTGCTGTCGTTAGAGACTGGACTCGGCTCTGGCTCATAGCAACGCTGTGCACTACAGGACGAAACCGTGCCTGCCCACTCCAGCTGCCCAGTGGTTACAGCCACTGTGCCGACCCATCGGGTCAAGGGGCTCCCTCCTTTTCACTGACCCTCGACTGCACCAAGCACGGTGTCCTTCTCCAGAGACTGGCCTCTCAGGTCTGTGAGACACAGCCCTTGCTTCTAAGGAGCATTCTGGCTGCCCCGGGCTGCACTCATGGTTCATCCTTCGGGCAGTCCGTGGTCTACTTTCACCTTCACCATACTCCAAGGGTATCCATTCTGTTTTGTTCTCCCTTGTCCACTGTCCACCACTCACCTGGGACGCCGTGGTGCCTTCAGTGTTGCTGTGGTGCCGGAAGTGACGCCTGCAGTGTAGTTAGCATTTGTTGCTGAGCCTTAGATGTGCTTAGCAACCAATAGGCCTGAAAGAGATCTGGAGAAAGTGTGGGGAGGAAACACAGTGATTGGTCACCTGACTGGCCGGTTACTGCCTCTAGGCTTTAGTAGCTAAACTAGGATGTGATAAACTAGACCAAAGCCACTGCCCCTCCCCCTGCTCTTATTCTGTGTGTCTGTGAGTCTAATCCAGAGGCAACCGTGTGATCATTTGACCCATTTCTAGCCTCTACGAGCCTGACGTCTCATCAGTCCAATCCAAACCAGGAAAGACAGCTACAGTTGTCCCCTCATGTGACGTCAGTGCCTCCTTTGGCTACGTGCCTCTGGTTGCTTCTGTACATGTCCTCCCCCCATCCCCCCTATTCTGAGTTGCCCCAGAGCAGCGAAAACAATGCCATCAAGCGATCCAAACACCTGCAAAACTCCGTTCATCGCCCCAGCACCTGGGAGGGACCGCAGCAAGGACCCACGGCCGGGCTGTTTAAGACCAGCATTGAGAGCAAAAATTGCAACATCCTTCAAAGGGCCCTGGCAGCCAGGGCCTAGCCGCTGCTGCCGATCCATCCACTTAGCTATTTTAAAATATATATATTTATTATTTTATTTTATTTTTTTACACTGAGTATTAGAATGTAGGATGTGTGTGAGTCGACATCTTGGGAAAGAGCAACTCACTGACCTCATAGGGTTAGTGCGGCCCCTGCGGCGAGGCCCGGGCCCAGAGAAGGACCGGTCAGCAGCGTCGTCGGGAAGGAGGAAGATCCCGGTGGACGCAGTGGGTGACAGCGGCTGCAACAGTGCACTCAGCATGGCAGGGGCTGCGATGATGATGCGGGCCGTGGCGGTAGCGGCGGCGTTCCACCGTGTGGCACATTGGGTTATTGTGACCTGGGTTGCAGCCCCCTCCTGGCACCTGACGACGCCAACCACGGTCACGTGCCAAGGCCGCAGCAGCCGTTGCCTGGTTGGTGTCCCTGTGCGAGGACAGCAGTGCTCCCATCGCTCCTCATAGCACAAGGCTAAAAGCAGCACGGCAGGACACAGCTACCTCGCACTTCTGCGTTAAGGGGTGGGCACTGCCCCTCTGGGGGGTAGGACGCACTGTACCTCGGGTGCGCCCTGCCTCTGTTGCAAACCCCAAGATGCTCAGTGCCTGGAGGCAACGGCTTTGTGACAAGAAGGCCGTCTTAAGAAATGAACTAATGGACAGAGTTCAGATACCACCCATCGTAAATAGTTTGCGAACCCTTTAAAACAAGCAAGCAAGAAAACCAAGCTCGCTGCTGCTGAATTGATGCCTGTGTATGGAGACCTTAGAGGACAGGGTGGCCTGCCCCTGTGAGTTTCCTAAATGACTGGTTCCGGTTGGCGCCCTTTGACGGCCTGGGTTAGGTCTCCCAGGAGTGGGGCATGGGAGGACGTCACCGCTGTCGGCTCCAACTAGCTCCATGTCAGCTGTTCCCACCCTTCAGTCCCCTGTCCCAGCTGCACTATTTGAGTCAGGAGCATGGTGATGCCACAGCTTCACCAAGAGAAGGCCTTCAGTAAGAGGTGCCCGGGAGCCCCACCCTTCGATGCCTAGGGGCGATGGCAGTCAGAGTTGTACCCCGCCACAGTGAATGCCTTCTTCGGTGGTCTCAGGCACCCCTCTCCTCTCAGAGGTTTTCTGTCTGAGGAGACCACCCAGTAGCACAGCTGCTAGAAGCAGGATTACCCAGAATCGCCTGTGCTTACTTACCAACCTAGAGTGAGCAATTCCTCCTGGTTGCACCAGCAATACCTTGGAGCAGAATCCTCGAGGTGGTGCAAAAGTGTGCAACTGTTCACCACAGATTAGTAAGTTAGCACAAGTAAGCCTGTGCTTACCTTGCACATTAGGTAAATTGGACCCTTGACCAGAAGGTGCTAATATGTACACACGCACAGGTGCGTACACAGCCCGCTCACTGGTTATTAACAACGAGTGGCCTAAGTAAAGAACAATTTCACTTTTCCGAAGAAGAGAAAAGTACGATTTGGGTGAATTTGTGTTTAAGATCTCGTTCTGTGAGGCTCCAAACCTTCGTGGATGTGATCTCAGGTTGCCTCTCTCGCTGGGCTTCTCAAGGGTCCAGAATGGGCTGTCCACTTCCCGGGGCCCCGGCAGGCTGGGTGAAGGGCCCTGGGCAGATGCCCAGGCCTCTCTTGCTTGGCCCAGCGCGTGGCTGACTGACCAGTGACCATGTGCCCTCTGTTCTTGTGCTCAGACTGTGGAGCCTGGCCGACCGCGCCTTGATTGCCCGCTGCAACATGGAGGAAGCAGTCCGCAGCGTTGCCTTCAGCCCTGACGGAGCTCAGCTGGCCCTGGGCATGAAGGATGGCTCTTTCATTGTTCTCCGGGTCAGGTATGTACCAATGTGGCCGTAGCAGGCGGGGAACACGGTCGTTAACCCTGAAGATCCACCTGCTCATTGTGCATGCTAGGATCTTAGCAAACTGATGTCCACTCTTTCATACAGGACGTCGCAGGCCACCTCCCTTCTCCATAACCCAGACATCCAGAGCCCTCTGGAAAGGCACCCCTCCCTCAGTCACTTAGTTAGTTGGTAGCATAGGGGTGGAGGGGAAGCTATGTAGGGTCTGTCAGCCCCTTAGTAGGAATCATCACATGATAGGTGTTTTGCTGCAAAAAGCCTAATGTGTTAAGAGAGCCCTGGTGGTGGGGGGTGTTCTGTGCTGTGAAACATGCTAAAATCCAGTAAACACAGAAGTGGAGAGACCCTCTAGTCCACATGGCTTTGGGATAGGATTCAGTGCCCAAGGGAGTCTCTGGCTGATGTGTGCAGATAAGCAGACTCCTTTGATAGCCAAAAGGTTGGCCGTTGGATCCCACCAAGAGGCACCTTGGAAGACAGTCCTGGCCCGTCTCTTTCCCAAATCCTCAGTCTTTGAGAACTCTGTGACCACAATTCCACTCTGAAGCTCACGGGGTCGCCCAGGGTCGGTCTCACCTGCCCCCGTGGCAGCCAGTCTGGTGCTGCTAGTCAGCTAAGAGGAAGCAAGAATGACGCTTCCAGCGAGCGCACCCGATTGGGAGAGTCAAACCTCCGCACCCAGTCTGCAGCAGTCGTGGAATAATGCCTCCTGATTAGCACCGTGCCTCATTCCTCCGGGAGTGAAGCCACGACCTCCCCTGGGAATGCCTCTGCGTGTTCTTCCTCTCTTGTTTCCGAGCCCCGCGCCGACAGAAAGCAGCTGTGGCCATGAATTCAATATGGCTTGTTTTGCTCCCAGAAAATTCTGCCGCTTCAAAAATGCTCTTGGCAGACAGTTCGTCACCCGGCATGGAGGTTACTGGCCACACAATTAGAGTGCATGATTGTGGCTCTCTGCTTAGCGCTGTGTGAAAACATTGCTGGGGCCAACTAGCCGTATCTACTCGGATGGACCTGCCACAGATGGAGGGGAAGTCCCCACACACCTATGTTATAGCAGGTGTGAGGCAGTGTCGTGTGGCCGAGAGTACTTGGCATTTTGTAAGCTGCCCATTTATTTCGGTGGATGCAGCCAGCCCTCCTGGCTCCGGAGGCCTGCCAGTCACCAGGTTTCTGTCTCGCTGTGGGGAAAGCAGAAACAAAGAACGCCTTAGGGAGCATTCGAAGGAGAGCCCAGTCCTTCCCAGAATCTCACCGGCAAGCATGGAGAACACGCCAGTGGTTCAGTGTAGGTGTGGTTGGACGTTCAAGGTGAAAATCAAACGATTGCAAAGCAAGTAAACATTAAAAGAGGCCGCTCTGCTCTCCCGCTGTCCGACTTGCTCTTTGTGCAGCAGTGAGCACCAGCTTGGCGGTCCCTGGCTTCTTGCTCTTACAGAGTGACAGCCATGGCCTGTTTCTCATGCTCACCTTGGGCTAGTTAACTGGTTCCGTGGCGTAGGTTTCAAATACACCCACAAATCCCAATTCTTTTATAAAAAACAGTTTTATTGGCTCACAGTCCACGTTTCATACAATCCCCTCCTATCAAGAAGCGCTGCGCAGTCCTTACCACAATTAATTTTAGAACACTTTCTTCTCCTCCTCATTGTTCCCCAACTCCCCAGCCTTCCCCGCCGCATCCCCAAGAAACCATCAATCAGTCACTGTGTCTATAGATATATCTGTGTTCAGTTTCATAAACAGAAAAACATACCCCCCAAAATAACAAGTCTGTCAACAATAACAGATTAAATGGGGGAAATCTCAATAGAAAAGAAAGTAGAACATATTAAAAATTTGAACAAATTTTTTAAAGGTTAAAAGGGAGATCAGAGGATGAGATGTCAAATTTTAAACGAGCTCTGTCTGCAAGAATCCACTTCCCAGTGCACTCTGCATGACGGCGAAGCTGTCCACGTCCCTGCTCCATGTCAAGGAGGGTTCCCCAGAGGCTTAACCCATTTGTAGTTCCCACCCTTTTTTTTATTTAACTGAAACAGCTTTTAAATGGATCGAAATGGAGCTCAAATGATAAGATACTATATTTTAACCTAACCGTATCTGCCATAATCTACAACACCCTCTGTGATAACAAGGCTGGTCACATCCCTCAACTATGGTCAGAGGGCATTCACAGGAGGCTCAATCTATGTGTGGACCCTCCACATGGACTTGAACTTCCACTGCTGCCCAGCAAACCAGATGTTCCTAATGTAAGCTCTGATACCATTTCCTCCTTTGGATTTGAATTACACTATTTATAATAATTGGATTATAAAGGCTGGTGTGCTTCTTCCACGTGGATTTCGTTGGCATCAAACTTCAATGCTTTTAGTGAAGAATTTAGTACGCGGAGGAAAATACACAGCTGATGGTTAAATGATATACACATTTCCTGCTTAAGATTTTTTAAAACTTTTGTGTGTGTGCCTCTGCTTTGGAACCCTAAAGCATTGTTTTACGTGTCTATTATTAAATTTTGAAAACTGGCTATATGTTTTAAATGATATCACTTTAGATTTTTTTCTCTCTCAGATATGAATCTTTTCATTCCCATGTTTCCTGTCCCTTTGAGATGTTTTCTCTGATGCGTAACATTCTTCGAAGCGAGGCCTAGGAATTCTATTTCTAGGTCTGCTACTGATCACGTTGCTTTCCATTCCGGCAGAGACATGACAGAAGTGGTTCACATCAAAGATCGAAAAGAAGTCATTCACGAGATGAAGTTCTCCCCGGACGGGTCTTACCTCGCCGTGGGATCCAACGACGGCCCCGTGGACGTCTACGCCGTCTCACAGCGGTACAAGAAAATCGGAGAGTGCGTCCAGTCTCTGAGCTTCATCACCCACATCGACTGGTCTCTGGACAGCAGATACTTGCAAACCAACGACGGGGCAGGAGAACGGCTGTTCTACAAGATGCCGTGTGAGTCGCCCGGCAGAGGGCACTTGTGAGAGCGATTTTCAACAGCGAGCATAGAGCAGTTAGCGTGCCTACTCAAGGATAAGCCGACCCGCACATCAGCCGAGGCACCTAGTTTCACCACAAAAACTGCACTTAAAAATGTGCTGAAAGACTTGGCTTATACGCGAGTGTATACGGTACTTTTCTAGAAAAACTCTACCCAAAGAGAATATAGGAGAATGTTCTTACGACTTCAGGAAGGGAGTATTTTCTGAAAACCAGACCCCCCACCCCCCAAGCTCATAGGCCCCCTAGCAATCACAGCAACAGATCACAGAGCTGCGTGGGAAGAAAGACTAGTAAACCCGGGCACAATGAAATGAACCTTCACTGCCAACCACAGGGACAAGAGACCGAGAGGACCAGCCACGCCCGGGCAGAGATGCTTGCCGTTGTCCCAGCGGGGAGAACACCTGTGTGGCGTGTGGAGCATAGGGAGCAGGCCTACTGGGGCATAGACGTCCCAGGGGCAGTAGAGAAACGGGCAGTTGACAAGGCCAGCAAATGGATGAATTCGTTCCCTGGTGGATAAATAAAAGATCAGTGAGATATCACATTGAAATATTTTCATTGGCAAACTCTGTCCGCAGTCAGTGTTACGGAGAAACCCGTGCCCTGCTGTGGACTTGAGCCCACGGCTGCCTGCTGCCGCAGCACTGGTAAAAGCCTAGAAAGAAACGCGGTGTAAGTGCCTATCCGCAGCAGGGCCGCTTGATTAAACGTGCTGTCAACTTACAACGGGCAGCACTTTCAAGAAATGAAACTAGAGCGACAGTGTCAGTAGGGACAAGTCTCAAAATGCCATGCTGAGCAGAGAAAGGCCAGTTGCAGAATGAGAGTACAGTGTAAAACCGTTCAGTGCAATGCCCAGGGCACAGAAATCAATTCTGCATAGATTTTATAAACATACACGTTCTTCCTTAATGCATGGGTTTAATGAACTCTGATTTCGAGGTGCTGGCTGCTTCTAAGCAGAGAGAGGAAGGGGTGAGACCGTGGAGAAATGCCCAGTGGGTTTTAACTGTCCCTGAAGTCTCTTCTTTCAAATAGATTCTGTGGACAAAGACCAACGTTCAGGTTTGTAGCGGGCGGGTGGTGTACACTCACATCCAACACAATTGTCTATTCTTTCCTGTGCGTTTGAAGTGTTTCATCATTTTAATGTAGGAATGTCTGAAAGACGAGGAGCCTTCTGGAAGTTTGTGGGGAAACCCCCTTCTTTCTGAGTCCCATTTTCCCAGGGACTTCTTGAAGGCTCCTCATAACTGTACGGTCGACTTCTCAGGGAGTGGACGCGAATGACCTGTTGAGGCCATCATTCGAGTCTGAGACATGGGCCGTTCTGCCCCCTCTCCTCTCGCTCACCTCCGTGTTCACGATTGCACCTCTCAAAGTTTAGATGAATGCGTGATGACATGCAGAAGCGCCCTATTCCTCCTATCCCTGCGCATTTGCCGCAGGTAGAAGTAAACGAAGGCAGGTGAGCCTGGTCTCTGTGGGTGTCCACTAGCAGGACACTGGACTCCCATCGCCATCAAGATATCAAGGGGGGTTGGCGTGACAGTTTCTGCAGGTAACCAGAGTTCTGCCAGCATCCAAAAGCAACAGGGTTTTCAGTAGAAACCGAGTGTGTCCCTGAGGCACCCCCCCCCACCCCAACAGCTACCGGGCCGAGACATCACCTGCACCCTCGAGAGCACGTGCAGAGAATTCTCCGCACTCTTCCGCACTGGGTCACGTTCACTTCATCACGACTTTTGTGCAGGTTTCCCTGTCTAAAAGAATCTAAATTAAGTCTGTTCATCTGATTGATGGAACATCAATATTTAGAAGCCCCAGCCTCCTTGCTCGGACCCCTGGTGCTGTCGTGGTTACACATTCGGCAGCCAACCACAAGGTCCGCAGTTTGAACCCGTCAGCTGCTCCAGGGAGAGAGTTGCTTTCT